CCCACACCCACACACACCCACACACACTTGGTACTTAAGTCCTAGTGGTGTCAATCATGTGCTGTTTTCTGGGGCTCCCACATGCAGAGAGCTCCCAACTATCTCGGCCGAAGCCACGGCTCCCTCCTCTTGTGCAACCCCCAGGACTGTCACGCATTGGGGTCTGCCAACAGACCTCAGGGCAGCGAGGCACGCAGTCAGCTGGAGGCGAGCAGAGCCACTCAGACCCCTCAGTTAAAAGGAAATTCAGCCCCCTGAACAATTGCAAGGCTTAAATTCTACCAAAGTCAGCTACACAACACCACTTTTTGTTCCAATGCCAAACCAAATGCATTAGGTTAAACTATAGTTCACGTCCCATAGCCCACTTGGACTTTAGTCCACTTTAAGAAAGGCTAAGATATAGGGAGGAGAGTCATGATGAAAAGAAGTCCACATACATCTCATACAAAGGCCTCCTCACAACACCACCAGAAAGCGACTTTTCCTACTCAGGGTAGAGGGAAAAAAATATACATATTCATACACACACACACACACTTGTGTGTGCATGTATGTATATGAATATGTATATGTGTGTGCATATATGTATATAAAATCTCTTTCAGTGACTGGCATCATCACAAGACTAGCTTGTGCATAAGCTAATTCAATACTATACTTTGCAGTATTTCAGAAATACAAGCTACAAGATAGATTTAGGAAAAGTCACTAAAGGGTAGCTTGGTGCTATCAAATCATGTAAAAAGTTCCATAATCTATAACCTTCATTTCCTAATTTCGTTTTGTGTATTTCACATTTCATTAGCATGCCAAAGATAAGAAAAAACTAGGAACAAAGGAACTAGTAATTAAAAACTGTTCATCCTTTATGAAAGGGATATTAGGGAGGAGAAAAGAACACTGGTAAAGTACTATTCATTAGGAACTAAAATATTAACTTCATTTCTATGCCTACTGTTATTAAGTCTACTGTAGGCTGACAAAGAAACAGGATAAAGTCCAATTTATATTTCTTTTCTTACGCAAAGTCTCTCTTATGCCTATAACTAAAACAATGCAATACAAAGGGTTATTCAGCATTTAATAAATAGACGCTCATGTTGTCTGCTGACATTAGGATAGTCATTTTGCCATTTTGGCCAGAAGCTTTGAAAAGCTTATGGATGTTATGGGGATGACGGAAAAGACACTCATGCATGCAGCATGGGTATCTGAACAATCATGCTGAACTATTACACATTTGGAATTTCACTGCAGTTTGAACACTTCTGAAGCAAACCCCAGTGAGTGTGACTCATCCCCACACTTATATGTTAACTAATCATAAAATCCTTGTTTCTCAGGGCTGATAAATATGCACTATTACACATGGCACCAGCATAAGGAACAACACCTTTAGAAAGTTAGTAGATTTTCGAATTTAGACTCTTGAAAATATCATTTAAAAACCTTTACAAATACTTGCAATCTGTAATGCGGTTATATATTTAGTAGTTGCCTCCATCACAAAAGTACAATATTGCAAGCTTGCTCGTGGCAACATTCAAACCTGGCAAACGTACTATCTTCCTGTCATTTTCTGTTTATTGGTATTCCATTCTCCCTGGCCAGTCAACCATGAGGTGAGCTCTACAGTTCACTGATCTTCTTCCAGTTTGCCACTGGCCTGCAAAACAGCAAAGCAACCAGTGGTTTGGCTGGAGTGCTGTCTCACTGCAGGAAAGGCAGGCAGGCATTTGAATGTGCCAGACCTCAGGATAGAATAATCTTGAATGCAGACAGGAGGGAGCCAAGCTCAGTAACATCAATTTCAGCACTTCTGGGAAGGTTAATGTAGCAACTGAGCAAGTATGGTATTCTGCTGCTACTGAACTTTGACTTTGTTTTGTTCTGCTTCCGTCTTCTATTCTTGAACACACAGTCTTGCCTAACACACATCTTCCTTCACCCTCTATCATCTTCAAGAGTTTAAGCCAAACCTCAATCCCTTCTTTGTCAAAAAGTGTCAGCACTCCACTGAAAGATGAACATAGGATGGAGGAACCCATTTACCGTCTTCTGCAAGGCTTCCTGTTCCCTGATCCCTCACCACTGCCTGTTTGCCCCACAACCTGACACTCCGCCTTGTCTTTACATCCCCCGCTCTCCGCTTTCTCACTCCATTAGAGATCCAGACTCTCAGGACTAAGTATTCTTAGTCCTGGGGACTCTTATTAATTATGTAACATATTAAACAGAGAAAAAATATTGAATATGTATTCACCAATTTTATGGTTTATAAGCAGCATCACGAACAAAGAGATCTTGAATTCCAAATAGGCAGTAAGTATGGCAGTTTGTTTTAAGAGTTAGCTCAGTAAATATAATTTAGCTACTAACATATTAACTGAATGACTTATAATTTTTGCAGTAAAAAAGTGAAAACGTGGACGCTTAGACTGCTCTGATTCACAATATTAAGTACATTCAGTTTTTTTAAAGTCATTTTTTCCTAATGCAATAAAAAAGGAAGTCATGCCTTTATTTTGTTTTTGAACTGTATTCAATCAAATACTTAGTAAGACAAATTTTTAGACTTAGTATGAGACTCCGCATCACCATTTAATGTCTGATTTCAAGCCAAGGAACAAACAGAAAAGAACATTTATTTTAGTGGTTGTCAGGTGGCTTCCAAACTCTCTCTCTATTCCACATGCCTAACAGAAAACTTAATAAATAAAAAACAGATTTTATAGGGCTGGAATTACAGAACCCTGAGGCTCAGAGCCTCCCTGCTAGCCAGAGCACTGCCCCAGCCATCCCTGCTCCCATCCTCAAGAAGGCCACACAGCACCCCCAAGGGAACCTAACCTGTGGCAACGTCATCCACCAGCTGCTGCAAGGCAAGCCACAGCTCAGGAGAGTTGTCTCACGCTTCCTGCCCTCCTGCACCAAGATCTGTCCTGTAGTTTTGGTACTGAGAAGCTAGGATAACAATTACTTATTTCAGTAACACAGCATAAGGCCTTTGGATGAACAGGTATGTCACTGCACATTGCATGTTCCCCTGCTTCTTCCTGAAGAGGCTGGAATTTGCATGAAAGATTATGCCAGAAGCAATAAGGAGACAAAAAAATGGGAGTAAGGTGTGAGGTAAATTAATGTGTTATATTTTATCCTGTGTGAAAATTTATCATGAATTTTAGCACAGCAGTCTGATA